CTGTGTGACTGGCTCTCTGTGAATACTAAATTACTGCTAAGTCATCGACTGGTTTTTCTTTGTATTTTTCTTCAAGCAAACAAGCATTGAAAGGAAATTATACTGTGGGMTTTTCTCTAAAATATTAAAGATCCTGAAATAAAGAGCATCTCAATAAATGGAAAAGCCATATGTTCTKTTTGAATGTCTATAGATACTGATATTTTACTAAACACATTTCTGAAATCTTTAGTGATTGTCCATGCATCTATAATGACGAAGCATTATGTGTCAAAAACACATTTCTCTTTGACAATTTATTCATAAATTCAGTTATATAGTTGTTAGGGTATGGAGTGGTATTTGGAATTTTTTMTTTTGAATTTTTTTTTGCATTTATTAAAAGAAGATAATTATTTTATGTCAGCTACAGTGTAGGAGATTCTCTRACTTTTGGTTGGTTTCAATTTCTGTGCAGATTAAGGAGTCATTATGGCGTTTTTAGGGAGAATTGTCTTGAGTCTTTATTTAATGCTCTTCTTTCTTGAATYCTATTTTGTAATTGAGACAGCTGCGCAGTTATGTATTATTAATCATCCATCTACATTGTCATAATTATGATAATGACAGAATAGTGTGGTACTTTCATCTGTTTAGTTAACATACATGACTAGTTTCTGTGTAGACATTCAAAGATATTAATTATTATTAGAGCTATTACACTGTTACACTTTTTGAAAGAAAATTACAAATTTTTTTAATGAGAATTCAAACACAAATGCTGCACTGTCTCTTGATTAACTATTCAAGTGATGATAATYATTTCCAAAATACTTTACAGCCAAGTTATCTTACTTACTGGTAATAGTCTATCCAATTTATTTAGCAGCTAATTCACTAACCTTTGAGCATTTCAGTTATTTCAGRTAATAGCAGCTATGTTACCATAATGTTTTGTTTACATTTGTATCTTCGAGCATGCTTTGTAATTTCATTTTGCCGTAATGATGGACAAGTTGTCCGAAAGCTCGGAAATTAAAAAACTTACGTAGAAGAAACAAAACTTAGTATTTAAACAATGAATCCTAGTTACGATAACATTTTAACAAATAATAGTCTAGTTTGGGGGTTAAGCTCCATTTCACATGATATATTCTTTACAAATTGAATATATAGATCAGTTAAGCAATCAATCAATTGAATTCGCTTAGATATGTAAGTCCAATTATTTGACATGTTTGTATACTCTCTAATCATTTTCTTAGTTTTTATCATCGTCTTCCTGTATAGATATTCTTRGACATTATACAATTGTATAATGATAAAAACCAAGAAAATGATTAGGGAGTATACAAACATGTCAAATAATTGGACTTACATATCGAAGCGAATTCAYTTTTCGAAGTGTTGTTTTTACAGGCAACAAAATTAATTGAGGTTAAGCCTTAGTGCAAAATAAGAACTGGAAGTGGACTTTGATCTGCTTTTGTCTTTTGAACACKAGAGGGACATTTGATGCTTTTAAAAGACAATTCACAAATTAAAAATTTAGAAGAAGCACAATATGATGACAATCATGCTCAATGTTCATTGAGTGCAATACATGTACTTGTCARTGTTAACAGTAGCAGTCTGTCCAAAACAGCTACCAGTCAGTTGATGTACATGTTTGGTTGAGGCAGGGCTGTCAACTATCCCACATAATCTGGGAGTTTTCAGATTTAGGACTGTATCATCCGAGAAGGGTTTGTCGTACGACTTCCATATATGGTTGTGCATGTACAGCGCTGATGTGCTCGTAGAAGCCTCTGATGTCACAATTATGTGGAGAAGAACTTAGAAAATTTTGAAGAACGAATACTAAGATTTTAACCAGCGCTATGCATTGCCTAACCCGATATATTCCCTAAACCTAACCATTAAGCCAKYAGACCAATTRGCTTGAGTGAAKCTGAATTTTTGTGATATTTATGCAACGGCATGCATGAATAACCACGCATATGTGCATAAGATTGTACATATATAATTAATGAACCATCTATAGGGACATGAGAGCCTTCTATAGGTACACTAGAGCCATCCATATGGACATCCATATATGGAAGTCGTACGACAACCTCTACTCTATCATCCAGGTGTTAAGGATGTGAAATATTCTGAAAACAAAAACAAAAACAAAAAAGAGAAATACCTCAGTCTGGTTTTTGCAACAAATCTAGAGAACAATCATGCTTTTCAAAAATGAGTAGAGGACGAGTTTTGAAAATTAATCTAATAGGGTACTTGCAGCTGGAAAACAGAATCAGAGAGCAATGCTTGATCTTTGCCATATATTTTTTTATGAAAATTAAGATTTTACATTTGCAGCCATTTTTGAAGTATTAAGTATTGAGACAAAAAGGCAATTTACCTACATAAACCTGCAATTTCCATTCCTTGATACCATTTTGTGATTGATTCAAGTTATATGTGGTCAAGCGACCTCCAGCTTCGCAGGGTCTATAAAAACATGAACTGCACCACAAGAAAGATCTCAGCATAATTAGCAGATTTTGTGAGTTTGCCATACTTTGTGCAAATGCCAGTTAAACTGAAATTTTTGAATTAAAATTATTGTAAAATCAACAAACCAAGAATGACTTTTTGCTAGCTGAAAAACTTACAAAAATTCACTAACTTTGATATATTGTGATCGTTCTTGTGCTGGGGTTCAGTTTTTAATTACTAGTCTGATTAATTTTAGAAACCTGTAACCAATTTTTGGTTTAGCAATTGAAAAGTATAAATTATTGCTAGAGAAGGTGGCCTTATCTTTCTTAAAAGGTATCAAATTATCTGGGATTGARAGCCTTGTCAAGGTGACTGAAGGTCTTGGCATTGTTGGGTGACAAATCCCTTATTTTATCCCTTTGCCTTCATGTATGTTCTGTCTTATGATCAAGTATTAAGGYTTAATGTATAATTGATTGATATATTGATATATTTGCTTGTTTAGGACACAAAGGTGCGTGAAGCTTTGCTTCGTACAGGCCATGATCCACTGGAGTTTAGAATGCTTACCGTTGTTTATAACACCAGCCTTGTTGATGTGTCTTTAATTCACCTGTGTGCAGCCAATAAACAGCTTGCAAAGGTAATACATAACTAACTGCACAGCCCTAGGGGYGTAGGGTTGGTAGTTAGTTGAAATGAAGGTCTAGTTGATAAAAAAGCTCTTTATATTTTTTAACTGATAAATTGACATCTTTATTTTGTATAATTTATCTTTTTAAAAACCTTTAATATCACATGGTCAAAAGACATGATTATACCACCATGCCTGCTTAGATAGACAGTGTACAATATTATATTATAGTCAGTGAAAGATGGTAGTTCAGAACAAGATTCAGATGGTCGCATGAGTTGGTCATTAATATTTATATAGTACTACATGTTAAACACTAAAGTGTAATTTTGTGAAAACACTCCACCTGAGGACTAGTTGATTGCAATATCAAGAGTAGTTTTGCGATATGAATCTCCAATCTCTTATTTCATCATCTGAAAGATGCATCATGGCTTCTAAATCATTTAAAGTCAAGAGAGATGCAGCATTGATAACTCACTCATTCAAAATCGAGTAGCCAGTGAAAAARCATTTCCACCTGTTTGAGATAGTCCATTGAAAAGTCCAGAAGATGCAGACCTTCAAAAACACCAAAATTTACAAAGAACAGACATGAGTTAGGTTGTAACCGCTCAGCCTTAGCAAACATTTCTTTGTAAAATTTTTTGAGTTTAAGAAGATTTATCTTCTTGAATATTCAACAGTGCTTTTTTCTCAATTTTGTAAATTTACTAATCTTAAGTGGTTCTTTTCAGTTGTGCTAATGATTTTTCATTATCTACTCAATTTGGAATGGCTGAGTTACCCATAAAATGGCGCAATCCCTTTTAGCAGAAAGTATGTGTAATTGCTCTTGAATTGTAATATGCTCTACTCAGGATTAATAGTTTTTTCTGGTTTAGCAGCATGCACTTAAGGTAGTTAGACCAATTAAAAGATCAACTCTTATAAATTCTCAGTTTCTAGGAATTTCTAATCATGAAAGCTAATTGAAATATCCCCCAGGTYCTTTAGTTCACCTGTTCTGGTATTCTGGCTGTGCAAACCTACYCTTTTAATACAAAATCCAATTACATGCTGTGCGTGTTTACATGCAGTCCTCTTATAATGTTGTGTGTCATTTCTCTTACTGAATTCTTTTTATTTTAATTAATTTTSTTTTTAAAATGTCAAAATATTTTTGAATTTTGATCTCTCCTTCGACACACAGAAAACAAAAGATTCGGTTGACGTTTCGTTAATAATTGTTGTATTATTTCATTGTATTGCATTAATATTGATATATGATGATGATGATGATTATCATTATTATTTTAATTAGTCATTATTACTATTAGTGATAGAAAGGGAACATTTATAGTCTGTACACAGATTTTTATTTATTTTATTATTAAAATTATTATGTCACTATAATCATGATATTTCACTAATAAAAGGTATACTCAATGGAAAATTGCAAAATTGTTAAAAAATAGAGTAAAACATTCTTAAAGCGAGATGACCATTGAGCGTTTAATATAGAATCATTCTTTCACATTTACAGACAATTATTCACAGGTGTTGGTGTACTCTCAACGATCATCTCGTTTCAATTTAAAGGCATAGCCACCTTTCAAGAAGGAACTGTGGAAAAGTGTGTTGTTTTCATGTTTTTTTTTCTTATTTATTATTAAGGAATGGTTGGAAGGCTTGTTACCTTTACTGTATAATAATCAGATCAACAATTTCAACATCATGACACAGCTCTTCAAACAGTAAGGAAAAACGGTTACATTATTTTGTATTTCCATTTTAGTTACAGGGGTGGATCCAGGAATATTTTTTTTCCAAGGGGTACATCATTTGGGGATGTTGTTTGTTATTAAAAAAAATATAGATCTAGATTTGACAATAAAAGCTCTGGGCAGTGTGTTTGTTTTAGAGGACTACTGTAGAGGGGTTCCCATGCACCCAATGAACCCCCCTGGATCTGACAGTTGGAAATGTTACTTAGAGTGAATTTCGTATGAGTGGGACACCGTTACCGCACAGTTACCGGACCTGGCCTGCACAATTTTGGTGAACCAATGGGGCACTAGAATTTGGTTACAGTACGATAACGGTCACAGTACAGTACCGTCCGTTTTCCCACTCATACCAAATCTGCTCTATAGTCACGGCACAGAATTGTTACAGCAAGAATTTAGAATGTCTTTATAGAGAACACATGGTGCTATCCTAGTAGCAGTGGTCAAAGTCAGCATCCCCCTTGAACAAATGAATGCATGAGAAGTGAAATGAAAATAAAATTATGAAACAAACATAATAATCATATGGTAACTTTAATATATAGCTTTTTGAATTTCTCATGTGCAATGATTTCTGAAAAACCAGAGGTTGGGAGATAAATAAAGTTATTAAAATTATTATGTTCGTTTCATAATTTTCATTTCCATTTCTTTCATCATTGATGACGATGTAAATTATTTTGGAATAATTTTTGTTTTTGTTTTTGAAGGTATGTCAAAGCAGAGATTCTTTCAAGCACATCAGGGACAATATCTGTCAAAGGGTAAATATTGAAGCACAAAAATGTTTTAAAAGGAAAAAAAACTGCAATTAATTGTATGGTTATTTTTTACAAGAATATGCAAGGCACTGAATGCTGGCAAGCTGGAGCAGTCTGTCTTAAATGGTTTGCGTGACTTGGGTCTGTCTTCTGGAAAGGTGRGTTACTTCTAAWTATTAGTATTATTATTATCATTCAAATTGCTAGTATGTTTTATCTTGGTTTGGACAACTAATTCAATTTTGCTATCAAGATTTGTCTGTATATTTTACTTATCTGATATATAGATCTTTTCATTCCATACACACAATATGCATTGAAAAAATATTATYTTAGTACCAAATAAAGTGTGTCATACAAATGAATACGGAAGGCTAATATGTCTTAGCTTTATAAGCCAATACAGAATATCTAATTAACWTTTCTCTTCTTTGTTGTAATATGAGGGCAAAGTTATATTAATGTAAAGATATTAAGATAAATTGTCGGAGACTGTTGTGATGATTCATTGATGTTTTGCTATTATACTTAAATGAGTCAAAGGAATAATTATTTAAAAATATATTATACACTCTACATATATACTGGTATATTATGGAAATAAAAAAAAGAAGGAATATTAGTGAGTGGATGAAAAATTGGGTCTTTTTAAATGTATTTGCAGTAAAGAAGCAATTCAATTCATGCAATTCAATTCATGTGTATTTTACCATTTATTTAAAATAGAATAATATAGGGCAGCAAATTTATTTAATATATATACATTTAATGAATTTGATAGGTAAGGACACAATTAAGAAATTGGAAAATGAAACTTGACTAGCCAAAACATATTTTAGATTTGACTGGCAAATTTTAAATTTTAACTGCGTGGACATTATTTACTTATTTTTGCCCTGTTATCAATATTAGATATCAAAACATTGATGAAATACATCTCAGGACAATTTATCTTGGACTTCAACTAATGATTTTATATCCACAATTCCTTCCCTCAATGAATTACTTATTTTTAATTAATAACTGTTTGTGTTTAATTCCTAGAATGATGAAATGACTATTGAAGACATGTCATTTGAGAACTTCTATCAGTTATACTTGAAGGTTTGCCCTCGTTTGGAGATTGATCAGCTGTGTGTGAAATGGTAATTGCATATATATTACATAGTGAAATGGTTTTATAATTATATTTTAATAACTTTTTAATCAAATAGTATATTTTGTAATGATTCATGGATTTATTGCTATATGATTCTAAATAAGTCAAAGGAATAATGATGCAAAAATATGTAATATACTCTACATAATATATATTGTGGAAATAAATGAAAGGGAGGGAAATGAATGAATGGTTGAAAATTGAATCCATTTATTTGGGAAAGAAACAATTCATTTTTTTAGTAAGGAGTGTGCTTTTTGCACTAATCTTTTATGAACATGGATGTTCCATATTATATCTAGTATGTGTTCTTTTCAGGGGGGGTGGGAGAGCACCTTACCTCACAGTAAATCAGTTGGTCAAGTTCTTGAATGAGGAGCAAAGAGATCCTAGATTAAATGAGATTCTCTACCCATATTATGACAAAGAAAAGGCTTTAAACATCATCAGAAAATATGAAAAGTCTATGGATATGCTGCAAAGAGGTGAGCGGATGTCAGTTCTGATGATCTTGTTGTGACTGCAAGAAATGAAAGTCTTGAGATGACTTAAGTTGTTTTTGTGTGCCATTAATTGCTTGTAAAACCAATTGTTAATATTTGTAATGATGGATTYTCTTTCAGATCGTATTAGTGTAAATGGCTTAACAAGATACCTCCTTAGTGAAGACACAACTGTCCTAAAGAAAGATCACCTCAATTTAACACAAGACATGAATCAGCCTCTTTCTCATTACTTTATTAATTCCTCCCACAACACGTACCTGATAGGACGACAATTTGGTGGCAAGTCATCAGTTGAAATGTACAGACAATGCCTGATTGCTGGTTGCAGGTAGGAAAGATGACACTCCAGATAATTAAAGGGGGATGAGGGAGGTGGTTGGTGTTAAGCCCAGAATCTATCAAATGCTTAAAGCAGGTGAATTTAGGGTGCCTGTGGGCATTTTCCCTTAAAAGTTTGCAATTTAGATCCTGAGTTATGTCATTTCCAGCAATTTGAGGTACTACAGTGTGTTCTTGACAATAAATTTTACCCCAATTGTTTGGCAAAGCTTGGTCTCCTCACCCCCTAAATCTGCTCATGTCGATCATGTCTCCAGCTTGAAAGATCAGTACAGTCTGATTGGTGATACAGCACTGATTAGGCTTAACATAATATATAATAAAAAATATCCAGCCATATTACAGACAGTACTATGTTGTATAAGTCCAGTACATTCTCCCAAAGTAAGCCAAATGAAAGCATCTCAAAAATGAGAACACCTTTGGATTTGCTATAATAAATTTAAATGGCGTGCAGCTCAGATTTTAGTGAATTTACAAGGTATTTCTAACTTCTATATTTCAGATGTATAGAACTTGATTGTTGGGATGGTCCCAATGAAGAACCTTTGATAACTCATGGCAATGCAATGTGTACAAAAATCTCTTTCAAGGTATGTYAATYTTATTTGGTGAATTGAATGGTGTAGGTATCTTGRGAAAATGATTATCATCAACTAGCCGGGTCAGCTGAGCAGTTTTAAAGTGYGGTTTGGCTGMAGGWGGGTTGGGGATGGCTAGCTCTCATTGTTTCCACCAATCCACTTCCCTTGCTACAGGTAGTCCAATCTCACCTTGTGCTAAAAATTGTTCTTTTTTCAACTTCTAGCTAGACAAAATAAATTTAAGAAAAAATTTAAAGAGAGGGACAAGGAGGGGCTTTCCCCTTCTCTGACATCCCTTAAGGGTGTACTGACATATCCATTGCTAGGGAAATTCAGTAGATCTCTAAAATGACAAACAAAAGTAAAATCGCTTTCGTATTGAGTATTAAGCCTTCCCAAACAAAAATAACACATTTTATGACGTCATTGTATGACGTCATCGCGTGACGTCATTAATACGAAAAAATGCTATAATTTCATCAGGCAAAGTATATTAAACAATTTAAAATGGATGAAATTAATCTTTAGATTTAAGTCCCTAAAGGCAAGCATGCGTTTTTAGAATGATTGCAAAATAAGCTTTTTACGATTTTTTAAACCATGCGTGGTTCTGAAGAGGAGGCTGTGAAGAACATAAATATTGAAAAAAAACATGTCAATTTGGTGTTTCGCACCGAAGATTATATTTTTTAAATGGTACCATACATTTTATGTAAACAAAGATTTTGCCACCAGAAGTAAAAATTTTCCCGCCATGAAAACGCGCGCGCCCGCTTCTCCGATTGGCTAGCATCGGCTAGCATGGCAACCAGGTCGTCTAGAAACGGATACGTCAGTACACCCTTAATAGACATTCATGTGACCAATTGTAAACCAATACTTTATTTCTTGAACAGGATGTTATAGAAGCCATCAGAGATTCTGCATTTATCTCTACTGATTTTCCAGTCTTATTGTCATTTGAAAATCATTGCAGGTAAGGTAGTACAGTACTYAGATGTGCTTGTTGGAGAGTAGGTTTGTGTGCTTATGGAAGTTATGGAAAATGCGCAGTAGAAATCAGTATTATCAGTATTATCATTAGACAAACATAAGATTTCTTTTTTTGCAGTAAGCAACAACAGTACAAGATGGCTAGTTACTGTGTAGACATTTTAGGTGATGCTCTTGTCACTAAACCCTTTGATTCTTGGCCAGTAAGTATGCTTTTTATGCCAAACCTTGTGAACAGAGTTTCCCTTATTTAGAACTTTTCTGATTTGAATAAATAGTCGCCGTGTATTGAATTTTTTAAATGTATTATAGTTAGAGGAAGGCAGGCCCTTACCTTCACCAAACCAACTCCGAGGAAGAATTCTCATRAAAAATAAAAAACTGAAACCTGAGCAAGAAGCTGAAGGTAATGAAAAAATTAACGTTTCAGTGATAAACCGATGATTATAAATAAATGAATATTTTTTATATTTCATGTATAGATTACAGTGACCTTGAATCAATGTGTGCAACTTTGCGAAGGGACAGTGGSAGCTTAAAGGAAACAGCCATTGTGGATGATAACATTGAAAATAACAAAGATGAAAATAAAGAGGTTGATGAGAAAAAGACCTTAGAAGAAACTAGTAATAACTATTCCAATGACGAACGTCTTTCTCAAGTAGAACTCAACAATCTATTACAATTTAGCAGCAAAGTGACTTCAGAAATTATCAAAAATGCTGCAAATGTTGTCATAGAGAAAAATAAGAATGTACATAACATGAAACGACAGTGTCACACTGTGTCAGAGTTTTCGTATTTATTGAAAAAAGTAGATGATTCTAGCATGACAAATGGACTTGATGAGCTTGACGCTGCATTAAATCAACTCCAAGAAGTYGATATAACTCACTATTCAAGCTCCAATTACTACGACAAAGTTAGTAACTGTAACTGCAGTGACTGTGAAGGTGAACCWGAGAGTGTCAACTRKTTTAAAGAGACGCTTTACTGTGTTAAATGCTGCCATTATGTTATACGTAAAAGGGGATCTTCAGTGGACTCKATTTCAAGTTTAGATTCTGATTCATCTGGATCTAATATTGAAGAAAAAWTTTCAACTGATAATCTGACAGTTACTGTTGTAGTAGATGGAGAAACTGATAGTGGTGATGATAGACATGATGATATTACTCCTACACCGTCGCCACATCCATCTCCAGCAGTAACTCCCACAAAAGATATCAAGATGAATCCTCTCACGTTTTTTACTGCAAATTCATCACAATCAAATGATTATTCTAGTCTTCCAAATAACAGTAATACATTTTCTAATACACTCTCAAGGAAGGATTCAGACAAATCCAGTCKATCGTCCAACAGCAGTGTAACTTCTAGCACAACAACAAAGGAAGTGCGAACTACTTCAACTAGTTCTACAAGTTCACAAAGCACTATAATGTCCGAGTCTTTTAATGGTGAACGAAAAGACTCTAATACCAGTGTTAATTCAGAAGTGGTGGCCAGAAAGGAAAGCAATGCAAGCAGCAACAGCATAGACTCAAATATTGATGAAGATGAGGAAAGGGATGTTGTTAGTCCATTTTTGTACAAGCAAGATAAATTTGGTAGTTCACTGAGGCTGAATGTCATGCCAAAGAAGGTATGGACATTGACTTGTGCAATTTAAACAATTGTCAATTCTCAAATTTTGTGTTGTGTCAGTTTCTTATTAACCTCAAAACTGCATTATATATTCTTTTGCTTTGTGGTCAGCCTGTGGAACCGCACAGGTTTTGAGTAAAGAAGAAGACAAGAAATTTTAGATTTCACTTACACTTGAGGCTAATAGAAAGCAAGAGCAACTTAAACTTGCCATTCTCTCTGACAATCTTTTCTGAAATATCTGTGTTCATATGATAACAATTCTATTTGTTAGTCAGTTACAAAGATCCTGATTTTATTGTGCAGTTGTTGTAATTGCTGTCAGGTAGTCAGTACAGCCAGGAAGGTCAGTGAACAAATGAGTCAGCTGTGAGCTAACCAGTTGCCCCTTAAATCAAGTGGTCAACCTGTCTTCAATTTCTTTTTGCATTTCCAGGGTTCCAGGTCAGCAAGCTTAACTCCTGAGGAGTTTGAATTGATTAGTAGTTTCCAGGCCCAAAGCACAACTGGCAATATCAACCCTTTTCTGTCATCTCTGGTAAACTACATTCAACCTGTTCCTTTCCAAGGATTTGAAGAAGCTGAAGGTGAATGTCAGAATTGAAATTGTATTATTGTATAAACTTCTTCACGGTTCCCTGCAACATCTTGAAAGGTAGCTGTACCTTTGCATCAAAGGGAGATGCCTGTTGAGCGTGCAATGATAGAAACCTTTGTTCACACCTACAGACAATTATTTACAAGGATCTATCATTACATGCTCAACAGTTGTCTTGGTTCTATGTAAAGACAAAGCTACCTTTCAAGATGGTGCAGGGAACCGTGAAGGAGGCTATTATTGAAAGGTGGCCATACCTTAGCATCAAAGTGAGACAACGATTGAGTGTGCAATCACAGAATTTTGTGTTATGCTGCTTGCATCAGTGTACTCTCTCACTAATGCCTCAGTGGTATTACAGGCTGTGGTAAAAACTTTCTTTTTATTTTGCAGAGAAGAATGTTTCTTATCAAATGTCATCATTTAATGAATCCACTGGATTTCAGCTTGTGAAGACAAGCCCATCAGACTTTGTCAAGTATCCTTCATTTATATTGATAAATAAAAATATTAGCATTAAAGATTGCCTAGTTTGAAATCATATACACCTTTTATTATAAGCTGGGAAATACAAATGAATTTATTTTATGAGGGATTTGTAAGACGTGCTTTCATATGAAATATAATTTTTAAAGTTCAATATTGACCATTTATTCCAGGAACATTATCCTCTTGTATTTACTTAAATCAAACACTAGATATAACAAGAGGCAACTATCCAGGATCTACCCAAAGGGGAGTAGGGTGGATTCTAGTAACTACAATCCACAGGTAACCCAACATTAGTGCTGTTGAAATATGCTTTGAATTTATTTTAAAAGACTTTTTTTTTCTTCTTTCTTTAGGTTTTCTGGAATGTTGGGTGTCAAATGGTTTCTTTGAATTTTCAAACACCAGGTGGATTAATTTGACTTCTTGTAGTTCTCAACTAAATATATTTTCCTTTTTATAGTTCTTACTGATTTTTCTTTATGTTTTCATTCACATATTTGTTTGTTTAAATACTTTTTTTTATTGATATTACAGATTTAGCGTTTCAGTTGAACCAAGGGAAGTTTGAAATGAATGGTTCATGTGGGTAAGTGGTTTCACACAATGTGTTGAAAAACAGTTTGACTATTGAAAGTTAAGACAGAAGAACTTTCTACAGCTAACCTGGCTGGCTTACAGCTTTTTAGCAGCCAACACACTGCTTAGAAGCAGTTCTCTTACATCATGCCCACAGTTTGTTTGCTGTTTTCTGAGCACCAGTTTGGCATTAGAAACAGTTCTTTATATCATGCCAACAGTTTGTTTGCAACTTTCTGAGGACCAGTTTGGTACTTAAAACTAACACGTTTACACTACTTGCAAATAATATGAAATTATGACTGTAGTTTAGAAAATTAATATTTAAAAAATGAGGAATAGTTATACATTGTTCTAATAATTGTTTATTCAAATTTGCACATTATTAGATACATCTTAAAGCCAGATCTGATGATAAGAAAAGACAGAGCGTTTGATCCATTCACAGAGTCTGTGATTGATGGCTGTGTAGCAGCCTACATAGCTGTTAAAGTAATCTCGGGTCAATTCCTGTCAGACAAGAAGATCAGTACCCTTGTAGAAGTTGACCTTTATGGCTTGCCAACAGATACAGTCAGGAAGAAGTACAAAACAAAGATAGCTACTAGTAAAGGACTTAATACTGTCTATGAAGAAGAAGTGTTTGTCTTTAGAAGGGTAAAAAATCTGTCTAAATTCTTCCATCAATACTAGTATGCAACTATTTTTCATGTCTTGAGTAAAAAAAAAAAAAAAAAACTAGCCAGGTAGTAATTATTTCAGCTTTACTGAAAAATAGTATAAATAAGAAGCATTGTAACTCTAAAAACCTCATTAGTTAACACATGACATTTTTCATTACTATCAAAGTCAACACTTCTGGAAATAAGATCTTTTTTCTTAGAATTTAACTGTTATATGTTATCAAAGTTCAATATACAATGAACTGACTCCTAGTTGGCTTTATTTTCAATTGGTGGAAACATTTGCAGTATATTACGTTATTGTAATTAGATCTATTTTCATGTGGTAAAATGTTTGGCTAATTGGATAAATTTTTATTACTTACAGGTTGTAATGCCTGAACTGTCTTTGCTCCGACTTGGTGTAGTGGATGATAATGACAAACTCCTTGCTCAAAGGATAATACCTGTTAGTTCTTTACAAGCAGGTAAGCATTAAATAAAATAGTAAATCAAAAAACTTTCCCTGCAAATGTAGTTCATTTATGTTTTAACAATAAGGTCTCAAAGCAACAATTAACTGGTGCTAGAGTGATGTCTCTGCTTTAGTATTACAAGAGCACAGTAAAGTTTTAATGCTAAGTTTATTATTTTTAGGATACAGACATATTCCCTTGAGAACAGAAACTGGGATGAGTATTCCTCTTGGTACACTTTTTGTGCATATTACTTTGAGAAGCTATGTACCTGAAGGCTATGGAGGTAACTATGATATTATTTTCACAGAGAGGAGTTTATATTTTATGCTTCATTGCTTTTCCCTTTCTCCATGTTTCATAGAATGTATGTACTATATTCTTATATATTTTGGAAGTCATTATTCATGACTGTTTTACCTCTTCTTCAAGGGAGTAAAACTTGTATCAGGATACAGTTGGCATCATGTCTGACAAGAATTTATAATTACTATAATTTGTTATTTTTTAATGCTTTTAATCCGACATTTATGGAGAAAACTGAGTAAACTAATGTTGTTTTTGCTTAATTCAATACAGATATTGTGGATGAACTGTCAGAGCCAATCAAGTATAGATCAGCAGCAGAGAAAAGGGCGTCTCAGATGGTGGCATTTGAAATCATTGACGAGCCTGTATGTAGTTTTATCAACATTTACTGTATATGTTAGTTTATTAAATACTTAGCTAGTTGTAATTAAAATGAAAGAAAAGGTCAATAATGAGCAATTAAGTACTACATGAACTACCTACCATTTTCTCAATTATTGTTAAAGACCTTGCTAGTAGTCATGATAAAACAGATCATTATGTAATATACAGTTATTTTTTTATAGGATGATGGATATTTCCCTCCATTTATCAAGAAAAGTAATTCAGACAATTCCCTCTCTAAAATGAAGTCATCATCATTGTCACTGACATCGCTAAACAGTACCTCATCAACAGCTTCACTACCGCAGTTTAACAACAGACCAAGAGAGTCTATTGTCACACTGAGTTATATGGGAGCAAGAAGTGGGTCTGAGCTTACATTACATATGGAAAGCAATCTTCCTAAGAAATGTAAGAAGATCATGCTTGATATTGGCCGTAAGAGGGTTGTAGGGTAGTGGGCTATGAATGGTAGTGTTTATGGTAGTTATTTTGTTTGAGGAAATTCCAGATGACAATTGAAATAATTTTATAACACTGTTCTAACATATTATAGAATCACAAGAATTAGTATGAGAAGAATTCTAGACATTTTAAATAAAGTCTCAGAGGAAGGAATTACGGTCATCTCACCCCATTGCCATCTCGCCCCCACCATCTCGCCCCCACTATTCCATCTCGCCGCACCATCTCGCCCCACCATCTCGCCCCAATATCATATATGTGTTAGTTTACATATCGAATTTCAGATTATTGCCGAGTCTCAAGTTAAACTTGATGTGTGTTTTCTTTAGATGACATGAAGCACGCTCCCATTAGCCAAGAAGAACTGAAAAAAGACAAGGTAAGACTACCAGAAAATCATTTTTTGAATAAAATTGTTTTACTGCACATTAGGTACATGTAAGTGTAACACAAATTTACACAGGCGTGGTTAAAAAACAATTTTGCATAATTTGTATAAAATGCAGTCTGTAGTTATTATCACATTATTTAAATGTTAAATAATCAGTAATAGTTATTATCAATAATAATAATATTAAATGATATGCTATTGGATATTGTTGTAATATGTTATTTTAATATTACCATCCATGAATATCTACTTAATATCCTGTAGACATACAGAAAAGCACAGAAGAGAAACCAGAAAGAAATTGAAAATTTACAGAAGAAGTACACAAAGGTGACGAAAGTTATTGATAAATGAGACTCTGATCAGTTATGTGCATAAGGGAGAGAGTTCAATGTTGCAACAAGAATCTAGTATGTTATATTGTTATGTTTTCATGTTATTTTTGTGCTTTAATTGGTAAAATAATAACTGCTGCTCTTGAATTATCATAGGAAAGAAACAACATGCAAAAGACACACACTTACCAACTAGAGCAGCTTATAACAGCTTTTGAAGAGAACAAGCAGGCTGCATACAAAAACTACGAAAGAGCTGCAAGGCGATGTGGGTAAGTGTATGCTATTTTATAAGTTAGATTAATTTTTGCACTATGTGGTGATTGTACTCTAAGAGAGTGTCATATTTCACAAGTATCTATAATAGTATTCTAGGGAACAGCTATCTTTGATGTTGGCAATAAGCTTATTACAATCCTAAGTTATAGGCCTTCTCCCAACATCCATGCATGCTTTGATATTTTGAGTATAAACCATGTAATCCATTTAACATTAGATAATTAGAGCAAATGAGCTGTTTTATGCCTTGTTATGTGGACCAGCCTTTAACAGTGATTTTTACTGTAGGGAGGAGAAGACGGCTGCCATGAAAGTGTATGAAAAGAAGATACTATACCAAAGTCAGCTACAAAGAGAAGAGGTACAGTAGCTCCACTACTAGAATCAATTTCATATGAGTGGGAAACGGACGGAACTGTACTGTAACCGTAATCGTACTGTAACCAAATTCTAGTGTCTCATTGCTTCACAAAAATTGTGCAGGCCAGGTCCGGTAACTGTGCGGTAACCGTGCAGTAATTTCTACCGTACGTTTCCCACTCATACGAAATTAACTCTATTAACCTTGTTTATACAATACATGTGATATGTGTTTGATATGTCAGTTGCATATGTTAGAACTTCGACAGGATGGCTAAAAAAGTTGTTGCAATTGCTGCATCTTATTGTAAAAACAGTAATGAAAATGTCATTTCTCTAGGCCAACAAGACATTGTCTGCACAGACTGAAGAATGGACAGCAATGATTGATAAACAGATTGTTGAGGAGATGGAGGTCTATGAAAAACACTCTGAAGTTGTAAGTAACTGCAGTCCTTTCCATTTTTACCTCAAGTAGCAATTTGATAATAATAATATTTTCCCCCATATTTGTATGCAGCAAACTACACTTCTTAAATCTGCCATGAAAGAAATACATGAAGTACAGATTAAAGAATTATCGATCAAACATGACAGGTTTGTACAATATGTATTATGGGCAACAGCAATGCATCTTAAATAAATCGTGACAGTTGTCATTTTTTTTTACAATATAATTTATCTCTCATCCCTGTGTTATTGATCGAGATTATCTGTCCAGTTAATTGATATGTAATAGTATTAATAAGCTTCGCTGAAACTGAGGAAACATTCAATTTCCTTTCTATATTCTAATAGTGTTTTCAGGTCCTCATTGTGCAAAGTTTTCTAACTTTAATTCTGGAATCCTATCCCTGGAGGCTCGGAATTAAATTTTGGGCTATAATGACAGAGTTGCTTTATGATGCTGTCTGAACTTGTTTTAGGGAAAATGCCGAGATTAAGAAAAAGCAAACCAAGCAATCTATTGAACAACAGAAGCTGTTGATGGGAGACAAAGCCATCAAAAGCAAAGAAGAGAGAGACAGGTAACCAACTTGATTTAATTACCTCTAATTTATTCAATGTGTAACTATTTTTATTGTTACTAACAGAATGTAAATACACAATTATTTAAGGCCTGTTTCAAACGCCCTGCTACAGTCGTGCCGAACCAAATAGTTTGAATTAAGCACATGAACACCGCGGCACCTATAACATAGTTAATTTGTTACCCAGATAGCTGGGCTTCCTGTGCCATGTTTGACCCTTGATCATGAAAAATGAAATATTTCTTCTTTCACAGAAAACAAAGAGAACGTGATAGGCAAAATTTCAAGCAGTTTTTAGAGGAACGTAAAAAGGTAAGAAAATAATGTAATTATTGTAAGTAAAGAAATTATCTCTTTCTTGGTTTGCCTTACGCTGAGTGCTTTCTCTCTGCAAAATGACATTTCAGTTGGAAAGTAGACAGAGTAGAGAATTAGAAGAATTGAAAGGCAGACACGAGGAAGAGCAGCAGAACTTGGAGCAAGAAGTGAAAAAGGTGACTATTCAAGATACTCCATTTTATTTGTTGTTTCAAAAGCAAGTTTCTTCACATTAAGCCTCCCAGAGATTTATGGGTGAAACTTAATAATGTGTTTGAATTTTTTTAAAATAAATATCTTATCTAACTTTTAGGCTGTTGCAGAAAAACTTGAAGAAATTCGTGCAAAAGGTGAAAAGTTACGCAAGGCGATAAGGTCACCATACCAGACCTTGCTACCATCACATTAGACAAATTTACGAAAACAAAAGAAGAGATTCTGGACATATATTATCCAACATGCATACACACATTATACTGTACCATACTGGGAATCCAACTTGTACAATGAATAATAGTTTACAGAAAATAATTTAAAGTAGGACATAAGTATAATTGTACATATTATTGGTGTATACATTTTTGGGTTCAATTTTTATATCACATTCACTGATCCAAGTGTACAAATTATCAAAGATATTTAATAAGATATGATGATATTATACATATTATTGGACCTAAGTAGAAGTAGCAGGTTTATGTGGACAAGATGTTTAAATAACAGTTTACGGTAGCCCAGGAAAATGCCATAAAAGACACAAGTTAGTATGTGAAATAGTATGAAACATAACCATTACAAAACATGCAATCATGAATCTATTATCAATGGTTATTAAAATGCATATTTTGGTAAGACATATACATTAGACTATTTGACATGCAAATAACTTAATGCTTTTAAAAGACTTTTTTCCCTTTGGTATATGTTGTCACAAGTTAAAAAGGTGTGCAGGGACCTTTACTTCATTTGTAGTTCCATTTGGCAAGTGCAGAATGCATACACTGAGATCATGTAGTGTTATTTCGAGTCTCCTTGGAGACAGTTAGATTGTGGTTTGCACCCACTGTAATTCTCCATGAAGGAAAATCCTAAAACAGGACATTTGTCTATGATTTTTGTAGTCTTACAGTTCTTAAGAAAAGTCATTGTGATTGGCTGGCTGGAACAATAGGCTCTATGCTGCTTTCTTAATTTCCCTCTGCATGAACCAATCACCAGTGATGTTCTTGGGAGCTTTAACCATACTAAACACCCTTACATGTAGTCTTATATGGATGGATTTAGAAGTAAAATCAACCCATTGTGAATCATTAGTTCATTATATTGTTATCTAAGTCTTTAGGATCATGTAAGAAAATGACTAAATGTATATATAAACACACCACATCACTGTGAAGAACATATTTTTGTATAGAATTGAAGTTGTAGGTGATGTAGTACCTATGATTGCTTGAATGATAAGTGGGAAAGTCAAATTCTATTTATTTCACAATAAAAATTATATTAACTAATATGAATGATTGAAACTATTGCACAATACATTGCTTGATATGTTATAAGACTTGATTGTGTTTTATACATTCAATAAAAAGTTAGGTTTAAATGAAATATTTGTCATGTTTTTTTTATAGTTTTCTTTCATTTACATGAAGAGCACAGTTTCTATCTTTTTACCAATATATATCCTTTTTTTAACTTGTACAATACTCTCTTAGAATATTAATAGTTATAATGACCATTATAATTATTCCTCTTTCCATTTTAAAAACCAGTTTGTTATATTTTTAGCGTGATCACTTCTTTATGAACATCAAAAGAACTCTTAATTATCTTCCTTGTAAGTCACCCCAATCTGGCGTCGGATTTCATCCATCCATCCCATAATCCTTTCTGTTGTAGAATGAGGCATGACTTCACTTTGGGTCTTTCCAGATAAAATGCTCTTCCTTACTGCTTGGATTTCATACCTTATAAAATGGTATAATAACATTAGGATTTGTCAGTATGGAAAATATAGCATCACATCCTCACCACACCCCCATCTAATGGACTGGCTCCTTAATGGCTGTCTTTGCTTGGAAATATGACACATTTATTATATTTTATAGACTAATTAACAATTAGACCCCGAGGTTGAGTGGCCTACGAGTTAATAGCCCATGAGGCCGAGTCCGCGAGGCRGAATGGGCTATTAGCTCGTAGTCCACGAGGCCGAGAGGTCTAATTGTTTTAGTATAAACATACTAATCGGTCAAAAACAAATTGAAATATCCTTTAAAATAATTTAGAATTTATTTATTTTGATTCATCCCGCGAGTGGTCTATCACAAATTAGTAGAGTAGCCAATCACAGCGCAGTATGAGTGATAGACCATTAGTATGTTTATACTAATATATATTATATATGGATATATGGACTATTTCCCTTATTCCATCAGAGCCAAATATAAAATTGTTGAATACCATACCTCATTCCTGTTGAATTAAAAAAGTTCATTGGAGCATAAGGCTTTGGAAGAGGAAACTCTTTTTCACTTCCATCAGATTTAATAATTTTCTCGCTGGACCAAAATGGAGCACAAATCTTGACACTTCCATTGCTACCACAAACAATGCATTCATTTGGCAGATCAGTATCTGTTGGCAAGAAGTTAATTGTATCATCAAATTCTGCTGGATAATATCAAAACAATATAAGTGCTAGGAATGCCCCTCAACTTCCAGTTACAGGCTGAAAAATACAGTTAGTAGTTGGCACAGCTTTTGACTACGACCATAGCAACAGCTTTCCAAAGTTGTATTTACAACATGGGTACAATGGTTTTGGAGGTCTAATTTGTAATTGTTTATTAGCCCTACAACAGTTGTAGCCATTTTGTGAGGATGACTTGAGCATGTTACATGCAATGGCTAAAGACAGAAGTTGTTCCCTCTCATTCAGCCTTTAAAAATATCTTAATGACCCTGCTTTAGCATTAAGACCTCCTTACACCCTGCCCTCAAGTACATGGCTATATTCATTACCAGCTGATGCGAGTATCTGTGCCATTCTGTTGCCACTGTACAAAAGTGTTACCGTGATGGCATAATCCACACCATCATCTGATGTTTTGTGGCCACATGCTGAAATATGTTGTGGTTTTTCTCCTCCAAAGAAAATATCTGCCATGTTTAAACAGTAAATACCAATGTCTAAGAGTACACCACCTCCAAGTTCTTTTTCAATGAGGCGTGGTATATTTGCCAAACTAGCAAAACCAAATGACGCCATCACAACCTTTACATCTCCGATTTCTTTAGAGCCAATCATGTTTTTAACTTCATCAACCAGTGGGAAAAAACGTGTCCAAAGTGCCTAACAAAAAGCAGAAAAAACTTACTACTAAAAATATAAGTACACAACTACCTAAATCAATCAGCTATCATAAAAAGATGGACAGAAGTGGAAAGAGCAGGTTAATTTACAGTTAAAATGTCAAAGGCTCTGGCAGAAATCTTAATTTTTCTAAAGAAATGCAAAAATTAAACTGGAGCAAGATTTCCTAGTTCTAATTTTGCAAGTGTTTATTTTTTACTTGCTACCATTTGTCAGGTGTGCAGTGTTTAGATTTGAAAACTACATATCTTCTCACTGACTCTGATCTTTCCATTTCTAGGCATCTTTTTGCCATGGCTGATTGATCACATGACTCCCAGCTGCAAAGGGCTGTGGACAAAAGGGCAATTTCATAGGAATCTTAGAGCTCAATCTCAAATTGGCTGATCAAGTCTTTTTAATTGAATGCCTGACACTGAAGTTAGGAATTTTGGTTGTGCCTTAAGTTTTAGTAGTTCCTCGGTTTTCCTTGCAAACTACTAGCGCACGCCGTCCCCTCAAGTGACCTAATTTCAGGAGTCACAATTTGCAGATCATGTCGGGGCAATTTGATACTTTCTTGACACATGTACACTTTACGATTTTACGATTTTTAAAAGTGGGAGTGCGTAATATTAATATTGCCCAGAAAATGTTAAATTCCGTCCCAACATCGGAATCAACATTAAATTAATAGTTGCAATTTATATAAGTTTTACCTCCATAAAAAACAGGTTTTTGTCTCTTGCAGTTTGCATGACCTCTTTTGCATCTTTTAAATTTAGTGTCATAGGCTTTTCACATAGTACGTGCTTGCCATGTTCAAGGGCAAGCAGGCATAGCTCTTTGTGCGTTGGATGAATGGTGGACACGTAAACGACTTGTACTTCTGGATCTGATACAACCTCCTTGTACGAGCCATATGCTTTCTTGACGCCATGTTGTCTGCACAAAGACTGAGCTTTGTCGCAACTGCTAGCTCCAATTGCAACTACATGGTGCTCCTCGGCTGGAAGAGTCTTCAAAGCAATAATAAAGTCATTGGCGATTTTGCCCGCTCCAAGAATCCCCCAACGAAGTGCTTCACTCGAAGACATCGTGCGCTTCAAGTTCACAAAGGATCAGGAAGGTTAACGACACAGGTATCCCACCGAGTTAAAAATCGAATGACGAAAATGAAAACAGGGATTAAAATAAAATCAGAAAAACATTAAAAATATGGTGTATTTACTAGTATTGACTAATAAAATAGTATTCGATCACAAATTATTTGAATAATTACTACTTAAACACTATTGATTTTTTACAATATTTTTAGGTATTTCAATTTACAACACCTCCAGGTCTTAAAATTACAAGTTCTATATCCTTAGTTGAATATAAGCTTTGGTTAAAAATTGTGGGTTCACATACAAAAGCCTTACTATAATAAAGGCTAATAATTCTTTTATATATAAAATGATATTAAAATGATATTAAATTTTTATGTGCAGATTGTTTATCTTTTATTTATTGATTGATTTTAGATATTTAATACACATATCTTCATATTTTGATAATGGTTCTATTGGTAGCCCTTCAATTTTCCCTTTGTCATCCCAGGTTCGCATTTGAATCAATGCTTTAAAAACTGGGAGTTTCTCAAAGGCTGATGCTTCCTCTGCTGACATAGGACCTCCTTGGTGAATTAGTGTTTGCTTGCTTGCTGCTGACAACTAGAAAAACAATAACACTTATATTTAAGCAATAAACGATAGCTTGAAGGGGTTTGCTGGCGAAATAAACTGCGCAGGATGGTTGTGAGAACATGAGAAAAGATCAGTACAGCTCGTGATTTACCTTTTCGGGTGTTCTCCCAACCATCCCAAGTGGTATATTTTATCAGTAAACCCCTTCAAGCTATAGTTTATTGCTTTTATGTTATAGCCAGCATCCGCTATTTAGACTCAAAAGTCTTTCAAGATAGCGAGCCTGGTTTACCGGTGAAATTAACCATAGCTTTTCTCATAAAGTCCACCAATCAGTGCGCGTTTTAGAATTGAGCTATAATAACATAAAAGATTGTAACCCTTGGTTTGAAATTTTAGAGAATTACTAATCTAGCAATTCAGGGGCATCAGAAGCCAAAACTCTGTGATGCATAGTGAATTACATATGTCATAATGCTGTGGTCTCTTCTTAGTCTGATTGCAAACACATGCATAGAAGGTTCAGGGGGAAGAGGACTCCTTGAGCCCCTGATTTAGTAGGGATGGATCCAGGAGGATGCTGACTGCAAGTCTCCTGGCTCCTGAGATGCTACATGCCCCCAAATGGTAACAAAGGAGAAAAAACATGCAAAAGATATACAAGGTGTAAGGATGGGTGCATACCCCCTTTATCCAATTGCTTTGTTGCATACAAAGACATGATATAATATGATAATGATTAGATTTTATCTCATTAAAGGACATGATAGCCTTGTCAGCCTTTCATCAAAAATCCGATTTTTTACTATTCTAACCTTGAACTATCACGAGTGTACCATAGCTCAATATGCAATAGGCAATCAACAAAAAATATTTCTCCTTGACATCATGTGACTGCAGATTGACGAGATGTGGGATCAATTTACTTTAGACACTTTACCTTTTCGTAAAAATCTTCATATTTATAAACCAAATAACGCTTAGCATCAACATGTCCTCCCACCATCTTTGTCACCGATTCAGGGAATCCTAAGTCAGACAAAAACTTCTCGCCAATTATTTCATGTTTTTCAGTTCCATACTCTCCCATCTGCGGTGATTGTTCCTCAAAACCGATCAGATGTCCAATGTCATGAAATAACGCTCCTAAAATCACCTCATCACTAAAGTCTTCCTTCTCTGCAAGCATAGCACATTGTATCATATGCTCTGTTTGTGACAATGGTTCGCCAATGTAGTCTTCACCCCCGTATTTTCGATAAAGATCGAATATTCTTTTCGTGGTTTCCAACGACTTGTCGTATTCCTCAGCCATTGCGGAAAGTATCAACCACAGGAAGCCCAAGCTCACGATAACTATTTAAAACAACACAAACGACTCGAAAACGTCCAATATGTGTAGACTCATTCACTGTAGTAAATCGTGGGCTACGAAGTTCTAAAATTGTTACTTATCTGCTCAAGAAGCTGATTTTTTCACTCTTTTTTAAAACACACATACTTGCCCCATTCTCTCTCGTTCAAATAGATAGTAACGCCTGCTGGTTTTGAACGGTGTAGCATGCTTGCTTCTGGACACAAATCGGACGAGAATGAGCTTTAGAAGTGAGTTTTCTGCACTTGAACCTTCTCTAAGAATACGTATAAAACGTGTTTGTATAATCTCAGGAGTTTGGTAAGTATTTGTGACTCAAAATCATTTTTTAAAGGGCGATTTTTAACAAATCATGTAAATTTACCATTTTCCAAATGCAAACCGTCTTCGCGCGCTCGATTTTTCATGGCATTTTGGCCAAATCGAGATTTTAAGCTTAGATAAAACCCTCCATTTACAAGCTCAAGCGAAAATACAAACTGAATTCATGCATCACAGTTCTTTATATCAAAATATGAGGAAGACCAGTCAGGAGATTCTAACAGATGTCATTCATTTGTACTCTTGCTTTAGAAGTGTGTTTTGCTTTCAGTAATAAATGTAAAATAATACTTTGATGTGATTTTCTCTAACACAGGGCATCATTCATTCTTGGTAGTGCTGCAGTTTTCTACTTCTCAAAGCCATATCTTGATAAAAGAAGAAAGGAAAGAGAGGCCCTTTTGGCAGCAAGTAAAACCCAAGACGAAACCCATAAGTAAGCCTAAAATAAAAGAGATTGAATTCAAAATGCATATCAGTCAAGACAGCTCAAGATGGAGGTATGGAATTTATCATATTTGTGTCCTGTGGTGCTGGACAAACTAAAAGAGGGCTGCTGTTATCTTGGGAAATTACCAATGATTTGTAGATCAGGACATTTTAGGGCTTGTTCTTGATCATTTACAATGATAAAAAACCATGCAACAATGCGGAAAACACTCTGTTGTGCAATGGATCATTTGGAGCAAGACAGTTGAAATGAATGTACAATAATTTGTTCAGACAATTTTTTTTTGAAGTTTAAAATGGATCACTTTGTTTGGTTGTTAATTATAACTCAACAAAGTTATAGAAGTGTACTGCACAACAAAAACTAAACTCAAAATAAGATTTATTAGTCAAACCAATAACCAATCAGTCAAATTTTCAGCTAGAGTAGTAAATTAGAGATTAATTAATCCATTKTTAGTCAGTCAGTCAGTTTGTCAATCGCTAACTGCAGTCAGTTTGTAAGTCAGTTCATCAATCAGCTACTTAAACAATTAGTCCTGGGACAGCTTTTTACTACAATCTTAGAGATGATGCCATGGAATGGTGAAAGCTTGAAACATCCAAATTTGTAACATATCTGGCCTCATTTGACCTTGATTTCACTATGAATGTATCGCTATCCTCCACAAGGGTAACAACGATTTGTTGAATATTTGATGAAACAAGATATCGTATGCGCCTTTAGATAGACCTACAAAGCTCACTTTGTTTCAAGTTGATAACATAATGACTAGCAGAGCAGATCAGGATATTTGTAATGGCAAGGCTACTTCACTTCAATCATTCCCGATGTTTGCCCTATTAACATTATCAAATATAATTGATTATAATAATGGATAATAAAGACGCCAATAATAATGCCAGTGGTTACTAACAACGTTGTAGATTCACAATGAATTTGGCAAATGTGAGATCTGGGTTGTATGCTGGCCTTTTGAGACTGCAAATCGATCAATTTGATCTACAGTAAAAGCTTGTGAAAGTAAGTGATCACTGATGTTGGAGAATGTGGTCTATGAATGCGGTCGTAACAAGTGCTGGTCGCTTACTGAGAGGGATCTGGTATGCGACCTTGCGCTATGACTGGACACTTGATAAGTGGATCGTCTAACATAGTGTTTTAAATTAATCAATTATCCCAGTGGTCCCTGTTTATGTAATAGAATAACTCTCCCAGGACGAAAGCAAATAAAAATTGATAAAAAAAACGATAGAAAGAAACGATCAACTAGGATTTTTTTTATATATATCCGCAAGGTGTTTGAAATGATTAAGAGATAGCTCAGGCCACACGCATCCAGAAATTATCAAAAAAGGGTCTCAATAGGAAAATTTTATATCCGCAGATCAAAATTTCCGGCTATTGCATCGTGTGAAGGTCTGACCGTACAGGAAGTGAATACTTCAAAGCCGGTCAAGTAAAATTTATCGATCAAAAAACAAACAATGGAATAGACCAATATAGCGCTAATCGACATTATAAAATACTTGATTTTAAGTAAAAAGTATTTCAGCATCAGATTTGACTTTAAAATAAATTTTCAAGAATGTGCATGAAAACGACGCTCTTGCCTCGTTACCTACAAATTGATTTTATTGTGAAATTTTATTTAGAAAAATAATATCTCCTTCAGTTTTTGAGTAATCTCCATGAAACTTGGGGATTTTTACTGTCTTTGATGCGGCAAATATGGTTCTTACGGCAGAAATTGTTGTTCAAAAGAAATCACACAGGGAATAGGCAATGTGCAGAGACGCCATTTTTTGTAGCAAAGCATGATGGTACTTGTAGTCCTTGTACTTTATTATTTCCGCTAAAACAGTCCTAAGCAAAAATAGAAGTATGTAAAAATGTAAAAACGGCTTTTAAGGAGATATTTTAAGGGCTATGAAAAGTGCGAGGACTACAACGTTGCAATGTGCGTTGCTGCTGCCCATTGTGTTTATCTGCGGATTGGGATACAAGCTTACTAGAAAACATCCTATGGCTACTTTAAGAAAAGCTTTGCCCCCTCTCAGGAAAGAACAAAATGCAAACAAAAACGAAGAGTGTGTAAGATATGACGATCATCGCAGGGAAATTATAATAATTTAAGCGATTATTAATAAATAGATCGCTCGAAAAAATTCCAGGCTTCAACGGGAATCGAACCCATGACCTCTGCGATGCCGGTGCAGTGCTCTAACAACTGAGTTATGAAGCCAACTTTGTTACCAAGCTGTCATTTTATTGGGTGAACCCATCCATACGTTGTAATGAATGATGAAATGACGGTATGAACTGCGGCGATGCGACGATCTTTGCTTTAATCGAATTTTTACATAATGTATTTTATAGTCAAATCGTGAAATTGAATTATTGCATTATTGTCCCTCACAACAATTTAATTCTATATGTTTCAAAGCTACGCAATTATCAAATGTTGGTAAGGCTCAGGCGCGTACCGTCCTTACGCATATACGCACGTGCGTACTAGTGGCAAGGAAATATTAAAATTTTCACAAAAAATACTGAAAAAATTCACATAAAATTAGTCACTTTTATATGCCCTCGATGTCTCTCAAAACTCTGGAAATCGCATTTCAAGAGTTATTATTTCAAAATTTCCTGAGGGAGATCCAGACTAGCTCCCTTAATACTCCCGCCTTTGGTGGTCTTTAGGCCCCCAGATCCAAAATATGTGTCGCGGTCCCTGACATGTGCGTACTAGCAAAAAAAGTCCACGCTATGCGCCTGTAAGGTGTATTAATTACTGTCTTTAGGATTTAGTCTACCTCGTCTCTTTTATCTTTTTTGGTTACAAATGACTGTCGTACATGTTTTAAGATTTGATCTTTCTGTCAAGCTATACTATAAGAGGCCACACGCGATGCGTTTCAGACTGAAAGCATTCCATATAATATATAAAATGAAGGGAAATGTTCCTTGTAATTACAGGTTTAGACAAACTGAAGGTATTTAAAGACTACGAGTAAAAAGCGCGTAGAACCCGTGAAATTGGACTAAGAACCCGTTAATAGTATCGGATGTTTTCACCTTGACTAATAGCTTTTGTTTCACTTTTATTTGGAGAAACTTTTCTCATAGTCAAGTTGTTATCATTGCCAAATGAGATAAAATTTTATTGTTTTATTGTGAAAAGAATTGCAAGCCCAGTTATTTACCTAGTCTCCTAGACGTTGATATCTTTTGCGGAAAAATGCGCCTACAAGAAGCTTCAGAAACTCTTGAAGCGCGTTTGCTTATGTCAAGCCATGTCATGGAAAAAAAGCCCATGAAGTAGATAGCAATCTAAGACCTGTTTCAAACGTCAAATTTCGCAATCTTCGAGTACAATGCAAATTTTCCAGTCCTCGGTTTTTGAACTTTATCATGTCATGTGAGATTTGTCGTTGCAAACATTACTAAAACAATTTAGTATAGTCGCTAAATGGACTGTGTTTTATTAATAAGATCAACGGGACAGTTCAGGTATACTCCATGCACAACCGGAAATTCTTATATCCTAAAATTGACCCGAATACGGGCTGTGTCCATGCCCATCCATCCTCGGGATCTCAGGAACGAATGAAAAGATCACGTCTGGGTTTCCAAGGTTGATGCTTATGACACAAGAAATTTATCCATGCAAAGCAACGTCAAAATGGTTGAAAACCAAACGAATACTGATAAATTCAGACACAAAGGTTTTGGTATTCAGAAATGTGGTTACTCTTGCACGAAATTGTGCCAGATACATTTCTCCGTTGCTATCCAGCCGTGCTTGCAAGATGATGGTTGAGCTTACAATTCACGACTTTCCATGCTCAGGTTCATTGACTACGAACAAAGCATTGAACCGAYGCGGCAAGGTACACTGAGCACAAATCTTTTCTTTTATGCTCCGTACCTTGACGCCTCGTTCCAATGACTTGTTCATGGTCACTGACCAGTGTATGGAATATTGGGAATGATAGTTATATGTGGATAATTGTCTATCATTGCAAGCTCGGCCATTGATTCAAAGGAAGAAAGGAAGGAAAGGAATTGTAAGAGATGTATTAGCAATAGCCGGTAATCTGCCGTAACAAAACTAGCATATGACAGTTTGACAAGCTTTAAGTAAATGAATTCTATGTCAATACACTCTGTATAAAGTATTAAACTTTTAATTATAGTCATTTCGGCTTCACCTGTTCTCTTTTGTGTCACAATCCCATATTTTATCATTTCCCACACAACAAAAAACGAAACTGCAAGACCATACAATGTATTCATTTAACCTCGAGAGGCGTTTGGCTGATAAATTTCATCTCTGATATTTTCTTTTTTTTTGGTCTTTACCTTTACGTTTAGACTCGTAAAAAAGTCGATTTTTCACGTCAACCAACGAGAGAGTGCAACTCCATATGACATACTTTCGCGATGTATGTCAGATAAATGAAAGTTCGTCTCACATACACTCCCATAT